GCGTGGAGGCATGGTCACCTGGAAAGATTCGCTGATAGCACTCCACGCCACGCCTGGCTGAGCAAACAGGAAGGGGATTTTTAAAATTCCTGGGGAATGTAAAGGGTTGGTCACAAGCATTTTTTGTTTGTTGGTTGGTTGGTTTTGTTTTTGTTTTTTGACTGAATGGCGCACTGGAGAGAGGTGATGGATTGATGGCTCTGATACCTAGAGTCACCTCTGTTCCTGTAGAACAGGAGAGCAGCAGGGCCAGCAAGGCCACGCCACCCCACCCCACCCCCATGATTCCCCAATGATGGGCTTCTGTAGATAAATCTCTGATATTTTCATATGACTTTACATTGTGCCTCTTCATATAACCTTGTAATGGGTCTTCCCACGTGTGACCTCTGTTTTCATGAAACTTTGTATCAAAGCCTCATGTAGAAACTTTGCATTGCCCTTGTTATAATGTTATAGCCCCTAAGGATAGAATAAGATAGAAGAAAAATGTCTCTTTGCTAAGAATAGACTAAGTTTTCCCCCACCCCTTAATCAATTGCCCTGTTGAATGAACGAGGTGTGAATGAGGAAGGTGAGAAGGCAGCACCTCCAGACAGCTGCAACAGTTGGAGAGGGGATGGAAGCCAGACCCAAGGACAATAAAACTTGTCAAGTGGGCTCACATACTTGTAAAACAATATCATTCTTGTGTTTTTATTTTAAGTACAAAATAAATATGTATAATAAATTTAAAAGTATGTAATTAGTAATTTGATATGTCAGGTGGCACCTTTTTTTATGTGTTTGCTCCCCCTGATGTTAGAACCTGGCTACGCCACTGCCTCTGGGCCCGGCAGTTCACAGCCGTGGCACCCCTGGGCTTCGCAGTTCAGAGACCCGGCACCTCTGGGCTTGGCAGTTCAGAAACCCAGCACCTCTGGGCCTGGCAGTTCACAGCCCTGGCACCTCTGGGCAGGGGCACCTCTATGTCTTTTGCTGCCCCAAGCATGGCAGTCAGGCGGCTTTCGGCAGCATGCCTGCGGGCAGTCCGCTGGTCACGCCGATTTGGCGGCATGCCTGCCGGAGGTCCACCGATGCCGTGCCTTCGGCGTCCCCGCTGCTGAATTACGGCCGAATCCATGGGACCGGTGGACCTCCCGCAGGCATGCCGCCAAAGGCAGCCTCACTACCGCCCTCACAGCGACTGAGAGGCCGCCCCCCGCGGCTTGCCGCCCCAGGCACGTGCTTGCTGCGCTGGTGCCTGGAGCCAGCCCTGCCTCTGGGCTTGGCAGTTCAGAGATCCAGCACCTCTGGGCCTGGCAGTACAGAGACCCGGCACCTCTGGGCCTGGCAGTTCATGGCCCCGGCACCTCCAGGCCTGGCAGTTCACAGCCCTGGCACCTCTGGGCCTGGCAGTTCACAGCCCTGGCACCTCTGGGCCTGGCAGTTCATGGCCC